TTTCCTCATGGATAAACTGGGAGGAACAGGGTGATGTGGGGATGAAACAAGACTGAGCTAACCCCTGCAAAGCACTTCGAACAACGCCTGGCACATAGTAGATGCTCCAAACAAATGCAGTCGTTATCCTCGTCATTGACTTTGTCCAGGTCATTCTCACTCCCCTCCAAGGCCCAGGTTCAGGGAGATGAGGGAGGCCTGGCACACACATGTGCTCTGTCCCCCGCAGGCAGGAGGCAGGGAGCACAATTCAGGAGGGGAAATGGCCCGAACACAACTGGAGGGGAACCCAGTCTGGGACAAAGCCCCTGGGGAGGCCCTTCCTCAACACAGCCCCAGCCTGACTCTGGGCCCCTCTCCCATCACCACCTCTGGGTGGTCTCCAGGCTTTCTCTGAGTGGGTACAGAGGTTCAACGGAGAAGCGAAGCAACCTATTTCTGATGGATGCCAACTTCAGCACCCACGACAAAGACAATGATAACTGCAACTGCAACTGTGCTCTGATGCTCTCTGGAGGTGGGTGCAGGTGGGAGCCTAGCCCACCAATGGGCTCACCTGAATGATCACCCCCATTTCCTCCCCCAATTCCTTTGCACCCAGACGCTGTCTGGAGGTGGGTGCAGGTCAGAGCTCTGCCCACCCACAGGCTCACCTGCCTGTGTTCCACCCGTACCTTCCCAGCAGGTCCCCCCCAGGATCTCGCCTCCTCCTAGAGCTGGTCCCACCAGTTTTCCAGTGAGACCAGGCTACAGGGGCACTGGGGATGGGGCTCCAGGGGAGACATAATGACTGATTACTCCCCACCCCAAGCAGGACTAGGATGGGGGAGACCGGTGGGAGGCGGAGGGGACAGCTCCACACCAACTATGGCTCAGGCAGTGTTCCCTGAGTGGGGACAGAGGACAGAGTGGGAGATGGGGATGAATGAGAGGCAGAGACAGAGAGGGGAGGACAGAGATAGGAGGAGAGACCTCCTGAGACACAGAAGCAGGGACAGATGGAGGCAGAGAGAGAAACCGAGGCCGACAGAGAGACACAGCACAGCAGAGATGGAGCACTGCACAGGGACACAGAAGTACAGAGTGAGCGACGCAGAGGGAAACACAACCCGGGGAAAGGCCAGAGATGGCACAGGGTGTGAGACACAGAGAG